AGGCTGGTTTCAAACTCCTGAGCTCAAACAATCCGCCCACCTCGGCCTCCCAGAGAGCTAGGATTACAGGCGTGAGCCACTGCGCCTGGCCGGGAGTGTTTTTTATTTATTTATTTTTTGAGACGTGGTCTGGCTACATTACCCAGGCTGAAGTGCACTGGCTATACACGGTGCGATCATGGCACACTGCAGCCCTGAATTCTTGGGCTTAAGCAATCCTCCTGCCTCAGCCTCCCTAGTCGCTGGGACTACAGGCACATGCCATGGCGCCCAGCAGGATTGTTAATAACCAGCAAACAGCCATTGTCCAAATCTCACAGGGGAAAAAACAGACTGGAGCAAACATATAACTCCAGGTCATGGTGGGCTGTGTGGTAGTTTTCCTGTGTGTGTCCCTTGTGGAGAATTTGAGAACACATGGACCACACACCGTGAGGCTGGGGATTCCCAATACTGGGGAATGGGGGCAGTATGGACTCTTCACGGAGACCAAGCAGAGCCCAAAAGACAAACTCAAAAGACTTGGGGCGAGCTCTGATTTAGTCCACCCAGTTTCAAGGATCTGCGGCCAGGTTCTTTCGCTCCCTTTCTTCTGCACGGCGGCGGCGAGGCCGTTCTCAACCACCAGGGGGCGGTATTCCCCACCCCACTCTGCTGTCCCTCCGAGGCCGCCTTTCGGTTTTCACCTGTAGGGGGAAGCAGAGAGCATGGAGCGCTCAGGAGCATTACGTTCCAGCCTCCTGCGGGCGGAGGCCTTCCCTCCAGCTGGCCAAGAAGCGGCCCAGGCTGCTGGTACTCCTGCTTCCACTCTCCTAGGCAATCAACATAGGGTGGCCACGTTTTGTCCTGTCAGAAACAGCAGACAGAACATGAGGATTGGTTTTTCTGCCTTGATTTTTTCCCCCTGGCTTGATTTTTAACAGTTTGACTCCTCTCATTTTTCCTGTTTGTCTATTTCTACTTTGACTTCCTAATTATTATTATTTTATTGACAATTCTTTCACTTTTTT